TGTTTGCTGGGGAGTGGGGAGGATGAGCAAGCCTTCAGATGGGTTTGTGCCAGGCATGAAGCAGGTAGGGGAGAGGGGCTGCCTGGGTGGTGGTGGGGAGGGCAGGTAAGCGGGAACATAACAGAGGTGATCTGGATAAGGCCCGAGGAGCCGCCCAGGTTCCCTGGCTGCGGGAACTGCAAGGTCAAAGACCCTGAGGCAGGACCGAGCTGGGAACAGCCTGTTGGCAGGCATGCTGGGCCTGGAGTCAAGGGGCAGCTTGGGAAGGCATCAGGGAACAGAGTGGCAGGTGCCTGACTGCCCCAGCATGGCTCACTGCCAGGAGTCCTTCCCTCTGGATGGTCCAGGCTGGCTCACTGTGCCTGGTGGGAATGGAGCAGGGAAGTGAGTCTAGAGCTGCCTGGGAGAGTGGGCACGCACTGTCTTCTTGGGAAGAAGTGAGCTGCACATCGCCAGAGGCATACGAGCACCCATCGCTCGGGGTGCCATGCCAGCGTGCGGAGACATGAGCCCTGCTCCCGCCCCCCAGGTGTAAGACGTGCGGAGAGTACATATACAAGGGCAAGAAGTTCAACGCGCGCAAAGAGACGGTGCAGAACGAGGTCTACCTGGGCCTACCCATCTTCCGCTTCTACATCAAATGCACACGCTGCCTGGCAGAGATCACCTTCAAGGTAGGACAGACAGCCAGGCCCGGTCTGCCCTGGGAAAGCCTCCAATCAGAATTGGAGGATGGTGTTATTGCTGCATTGTTTTTAAAGGCAGAAAACTGGAAGCAACCCAGTGTACAAGATTAGCTTCTGTGAAAGGAGACTGGTAGTGTAGAGGGTTAGGTTGTTAACCCAAGGTCAGCAGTTCTGTACCACCAGCTGCTCGCGGGAGAAAGAGGAGGCTTTCTAGTCCAGTAAAGAGTTGTGGCAGTTCTACTCTTTCCTATGTGGCAGCTGTGAGTCGGAATCAACTCCAGGAAAGGGAGTTTTTGTTTCTCAGTTGCTATCAGTTGGAATCCGCTTGATGGAGTGTGAGTTTCGAGCTGAACAAATGATTACACAATGGAACATTATACAGCCAATAAAAATCAGCTCTGCTTTCTTATTAGTTGACACTAAAGTCACCTTAAATGTAGTTAGGCATCGGAAATCATTCGAGAGACCCCTAGGTGGTGCTCACCTACTCGCCAAAAGATTGGCAGTTTTCATATCCCACAATAGCACCGTGGGAGAAAGGCATGGCGAACTTCATGCGTAACGACCGTCCCCAAGCCAGCCCCACAGAGTAGTTCTGAGTGTGGTGCCTGAAGTCATGACGCGGGAGCAACTAAGGGCACTTTTGTATTTTATGAAACTTGAGATTGCATATGCTTACAAACCATCACCACCGCCTACTCTAGAACATGCTGGTCCCTCCAAAAAGGAGCCCGGGACCCATGAATTATCCCAGCTCCACACCCACTGCCACCTTGTCCATTCTAACTCAACACAACCCTATGCCAGACCAGCAGCCCACTGCCAAGGGCTTTCTCCAGTGGACTGGACAGTGGGACAGTCCATGGTCAGTAAAGGCGTTACGGGCAGAGAGCTTCACCATTCTCCCCTGGAGCGGCTGGCGGGTGTGAACTGTCGACTTTGTGACAGTTACCCCACAGGGACCCTGCAGGACAGCATGGGACAGCTCCCTGGGTTTCTGAGCCTGTGGGTGCAGAAGGCCTTGCATTTCTCCTGTGGAAGAGCTGGTGGGCTTGAACCACGGACCTTTTGGTTAGCAGCCCAGCACTTAACCCACTGCACTACCAACTTCCTTGTCCCCATCAGCACTCACCACCCGCCCTTCTCTTCTCAACCACTGAGAGCTTCTCGTCCCTGGGGATTCGTCCTTGGTGTCTGATAAGCACTATAGAGCACACTGCAGACATACACAATCAGGGGTAGAAAATGTTATTTTTTTTAATCACCAAAAGGAAGGAGGTGTTAAAAAAAAAAATGGGGTGGGGTGGGGGGAACAGAGGCCCATGTCCAAAACATTCCAAGGTCTCGGCCAGTTTTCTTTGCAAAGATATTGAGAGCGAGAGTGGAGGGAGGTGGGTGGCAGGAGGGCCAGCGGCCAAGGGTGGGTCTTCAAGCCCGAGATCAGGAGGTGGAGGAGGAGGGGGACCCAAGGAAGCGTCAAGGCCAGAGCAAAGAGATGGGAACAAACAGAGCGAGGGGAGGACCCGGCCCACCTGCTGGTAGCTGTCGTGGACAAAAGTTCGGTTATCAGGGCTTCAGCCATAGACCTTGCCCTTCCCCTGCCAGACGGACCCCGAGAACACCGACTACACCATGGAGCATGGAGCCACGCGGAACTTCCAGGCCGAGAAGCTGCTGGAGGAGGAGGAGAAGAGGGTGCAGAAGGAGCGCGAGGATGAGGAGCTCAACAACCCCATGAAGGTG